TAACTGATAAATTTTATAATGACGAATTTGTAAAAAAATTTGTTAAACAACACTTATATTTAGCACGTCCACTTACCATAATGTATAATCAATGTTGTAATTCAATGAATAAAAATATTTAAAATATAAAAAATATCTTTTTATTTTTTCAAAATGTATAAAAACATTGTAGAAGATCCTGGAAATTATAAATCTGTATAAAGTAAAAAAAAAAATAAATAAATATAATTAAATTTTTCAAATTTTATATAATAAAATATATTTACCGTGTTCGTCCATATAAATTTTATATGAATATACATCGCACAAGCAGCAATGGGCGGCAAAATTAGTATGATCGCGACATACTTCTCCCATCATTGTTTCATTCTCCGGAAGACATTGATGCTGGAAGGCTGCTTGATGTAATAAACACGATTTACCGTGTTCGTCCATATAAATTTTACATGAATATACATTGCACAAGCAGCAATGGGCGGCAAAATTAGTATGATCGCGACATACTTCTCTTATCATTGTTTCATCCGGAGGAAGACATCGATGCTCGAAGGCTGCTTGATGTAATAAACACGGCTCGTAGCCATTATTTGATTTTGGTCGTCGGCACTTATGAGGGTAAATTTTTGTATGATCTGGACATGGCACCCGAATATCTGATGATTTTGGGACTCCCCATTTTTCTATGTCTATATACGGAATGTCTATATTAAATAAGTTTGACGTTAAATCTAAAAAATTCTCGAAGGCTGCTTGATGTAATAAACACGGCTCATAGCCATTTTTTGATTTTGGCCGTAATAAATTTACATAATATGTGTCTTCCTCTAAACTTTTGAAATTAGCCAATCTTCTTTTTTCATATTCTTCCGAATGTTTTTCCATCATATTTTTATACTTAATGTATTCCGGCAAAATTCTATAAACGTTCTTCGTATAACTTTCAATTCCTTCTTTTACATGCTCATCATATTCCTGTTGCATGCGAATGCAATAGTAATTATCAGGCTTTTTCTTTCTAAGTAATTCTAAGTAATCATACTTAGAATTTTCGGAGGTATGCTGGTCTACGATGTCCCTTATACTCTAAATTTCATTTAAAATAATTTAAAGAGTCGAAATTTAAATTAAAAGAACATATTATTTTAAAAATACTCACAGGAGTATATATTCTGGCCTCATGCCGATGTACAAGTTCCATTATACTCTATAATTCAATTTTAATTTAAATAATTTTAAGAGTTGAAATGTAAATTTTTAAAAAAACATATTATTTTAAATACTTACTTGAGTATTTCCACTTGAATCCATTATGTTTGAAAATAATAAACTCTATACTTGGTGGTAAGTATTTATACATTTTACTTCGAGGTTACAATATTAACTTTTGTCTTTCCATTGGGGAAGTAAATTAGATTATCTCCTCCTAGTTTTGGTTTCGTTATAAATTGTGTCAAACATTCAAGGTTTTACAATTAAGTCATCTGTCAATTATTTTATGTTAGACAATTAATTTAATATTCAAGATTTCAAAAAACTTTCCTAATGGCAAATTATTTTATAAATTGCATCAAGAATCTAATTTATCATTCAAGTAACAATTCCTCCTTTTCCTAAAACTAACCGGTAATTTCCCACTAAATTGGGTCAACCAGACCTTGAAATACTGGTGTGAATAGAATTGTGTCAAGAATTTAATTTATCATTCAAGTAACAATTCCTCCTTTTCCTAAAACTAACCGGTAATTTCCCACTAAATTGGGTCAACCAGACCTTGAAATACTGGTGTGAATAGAATTGTGTCAAGAATTTAATTTATCATTCAAGTAACAATTCCTCCTTTTCCCAAAACTAACCGGTAATTTCCCACTAAATTGGGTCGACCAGACCTTGAAATACTGGTATGTATAGAATTGTGTCGAGCAGATATAGAATCTAATTTATCATTCAAGTAACAATTCTTTCTTACACAAGTTGTTTTTCCTAAAACTAACCGGTAATTTCCCACTAAATTGGGTCGACCAGACCTTGAAATACTGGTATGTATAGAATTGTGTCGAGCAGATATAGAATCTAATTTATCATTCAAGTAACAATTCTTTCTTACACAAGTTGTTTTTCCTAAAACTAACCGGTAATTTCCCACTAAATTGGGTCGACCAGACCTTGAAATACTGGTATGTATAGAATTGTGTCGAGCAGATATAGAATCTAATTTATCATTCAAGTAACAATTCTTTCTTACACAAGTTGTTTTTCCTAAAACTAACCGGTAATTTCCCACTAAATTGGGTCGACCAGACCTTGAAATACTGGTATGTATAGAATTGTGTCGAGCAGATATAGAATCTAATTTATCATTCAAGTAACAATTCTTTCTTACACAAGTTGTTTTTCCTAAAACTAACCGGTAATTTCCCACTAAATTGGGTCGACCAGACCTTGAAATACTGGTATGTATAGAATTGTGTCGAGCAGATATAGAATCTAATTTATCATTCAAGTAACAATTCTTTCTTACACAAGTTGTTTTTCCTAAAACTAACCGGTAATTTCCCACTAAATTGGGTCGACCAGACCTTGAAATACTGGTATGTATAGAATTGTGTCGAGCAGATATAGAATCTAATTTATCATTCAAGTAACAATTCTTTCTTACACAAGTTGTTTTTCCTAAAACTAACCGGTAATTTCCCACTAAATTGGGTCGACCAGACCTTGAAATACTGGTATGTATAGAATTGTGTCGAGCAGATATAGAATCTAATTTATCATTCAAGTAACAATTCTTTCTTACACAAGTTGTTTTTCCTAAAACTAACCGGTAATTTCCCACTAAATTGGGTCGACCAGACCTTGAAATACTGGTATGTATAGAATTGTGTCGAGCAGATATAGAATCTAATTTATCATTCAAGTAACAATTCTTTCTTACACAAGTTGTTTTTCCTAAAACTAACCGGTAATTTCCCACTAAATTGGGTCGACCAGACCTTGAAATACTGGTATGTATAGAATTGTGTCGAGCAGATATAGAATCTAATTTATCATTCAAGTAACAATTCTTTCTTACACAAGTTGTTTTTCCTAAAACTAACCGGTAATTTCCCACTAAATTGGGTCGACCAGACCTTGAAATACTGGTATGTATAGAATTGTGTCGAGCAGATATAGAATCTAATTTATCATTCAAGTAACAATTCTTTCTTACACAAGTTGTTTTTCCTAAAACTAACCGGTAATTTCCCACTAAATTGGGTCGACCAGACCTTGAAATACTGGTATGTATAGAATTGTGTCGAGCAGATATAGAATCTAATTTATCATTCAAGTAACAATTCTTTCTTACACAAGTTGTTTTTCCTAAAACTAACCGGTAATTTCCCACTAAATTGGGTCGACCAGACCTTGAAATACTGGTATGTATAGAATTGTGTCGAGCAGATATAGAATCTAATTTATCATTCAAGTAACAATTCTTTCTTACACAAGTTGTTTTTCCTAAAACTAACCGGTAATTTCCCACTAAATTGGGTCGACCAGACCTTGAAATACTGGTATGTATAGAATTGTGTCGAGCAGATATAGAATCTAATTTA